GTTTTGAAATCTACTTTGTCTGATACAAGTATGGCAACCCTGACCTTTTTCTCTTGCCCTTTTACTTGGAATATTTTTTTCCATCCCTTTACTTTAAATCTGTGTAGGTCTCTTGCTCTGAGGTGGGTCTCTTGTAGGCAGCATATGTGTGGGCCATGTTTTCTTATCCATTCAGCTACCCTGTGTCTTTTAATTGGGACATTTAGTCCACTCACATTGAGAGATATTACTGATAAATCTTGCTCATCTTTTCTCTTTGTACCTGTGTTCCTCTCTCTCTCTCATTCTTTTCCTTCATCTTCTTAAACCAGTCCCCTTAGCATATCTTGGAGTGCTGGTTTGGTAGAGATGTATTCTTTTAGCCATCTTTGGGAAACTCTTAATTTCCCCTTCTATTGTAATTGAGAGCCTTGCTGGGTTGAGCAGTCTTGGTTGTAGGCCCTTGCTTTTCATAACTTGGAATATTTGTCGCCATTATCTTCTGGCTTGTAGTGTTTAGGTTGAGAAGTCATCTCCTAGCCCTATTGAGGCTCCCTTGTATGTTACTTTCTCCTTCTCCCTTGCTGCCTTGAGGATTCTCTCTTTGTCTTTGATAATTGCCATTTTAATGATGATGTGTCTTGGAGTGGACCTCCTTGAGTCCCTCTTGAGTGGGGTCCTCTGTGCCTCCGGGATCCATAAGAGCCTTTCTCTCCTCAAATTAAGGAAATTTTCCATCATTACTTTTTCGAGGAGGTTCTCTATCCCTTGCTCCTCTTCTCCTTCTGGTATCCCTATTATGCAGATATTATTGTGTTTCAGGTTGTCCTGCATTTGCCTAAATGCCTCTTCATTCTTTTTGAGTCTTTTTTCCGTTTCTTGTTCTGTCTGGGAGCTTCTTTCTACCTTATCCTCCATCTCACTGATCGATCCTCGGCTTCATCCATCCTGCTTTGGATTCCTTCTACTGTGTTCTTCAATTCAGAAATGGAATTCTTCATATCCTCTTGTGTCTTCTTGATAGTTTCTATGTCCTTTTCTGGGATAGTTTGTTGTAAGATCCTGATAGTTTCTCTGCAGTTTCTCATAGTTATCTTTGAGCTGGCTGAGCTCATTGAGCTTCCTTAGAGACATTCTTTTGAATTCAATATCTGATAGTCCCCTTGCCTCTATTTCATTTAGCAATCTCTGTAGGGATTTCCCTTCTCCACTCAGTTGGGGGGTGGAACTTCTTTTTCTTCCCTTTTTTTGAGAGTCTGTTAAGTAGTTTATTTACTTATTTAGTTATTTTTGCTTCTGATTCAATTGGGCTGTCTAGATTTCCTGTCTTTGTGGATTAAACTTCTATGGTAGTAGGTGGGTCTTTTTATTTATTTATTTATTTATTTATTTATTTATTTTTCCCTTTACTTTTCTTTCTTGGCCTGACTCTGATGATGTCAGTTGTTGACCCTATATGACCTTGGGTCATTTGTTTGAGCCTTCCAGGAGTCTACTGTCTGTGTCTGACTCCTGCTTGGGGCAGCTCTGTGACCCCTTTGCTCAGGGATCCACTATTTCTTTGGATCTCTCTGCACTCTCACTTTGGCTCCTTGAGTGCGCTAGGCGGCGCGGCAGGATCCCTCGCCCGCCTGGGTGTGCGCCTACTTGCCCCAGACCAGGGGGATTAGTTGCGACCTCGCGTACTCGTCTGGCCCTCCTGGCCAGCAGGCACCCCGGCACTGGTCAGTTTAGGGTCTTCTATTGTGTGTTTTCCCTGCTTTTGGCTCTTTGGATGTATTGCTGTCCCTCACCAAATGGAGACTACGGAAATGGGAGGAAGTCAGCTCCATGACTCTCAGGTTAATCCTGTCTCTGGTCTCTCCTCCAGGGACTCTCAGCAGCTCTCTGACCCCTTCAGCCCAGGATCTACTAACTCAGTGAGCCACTCCGCAATCGCCGGCCACGGGGTCAATTTACTCCTGCCCTTACCGCTCCGCGCACTGCCTCACAGGCTATATCGGGGCCAATCTGTGGGACCCCTTGCCAGCCCATGTGAGCCCTCGCCAGCCCACATGGGTCCACACAGATGCTCGCCAACCCTCCCCGGCCACTCGACGCAACTGTGTGCGCCTACACTGGGTGGTTTTGAGGTGTCTGTGTGTGCTTTTCAGCTTTTGGCTCTTTGGGGGTGTGACCTCTTCTCGCACAATGGACACTACGGAAAGGAGAAGGAGTCGGGACTCCCTTGTTTCTCCTGCCGTTCTTTCCCCAATGCTTCCTTTTCCAGTCTCTCCTCAGGGGTCTCTGGGCAGTTCTGTGACCCCTTCGGCCAAGGATCCACCACCTGTGCGGACTGCGTTTCAATCGCGGGCAGTCTGTTAGTGCATTCCCCTCTTCTGCCTCTTTGGGGGCACACCTTTCCAGCCCACAATGGACACTACAGAATGGGGAGGGAGTTGGGACTCCCCCGTTCATCCTCCCGTTCTTTCCACAATGCCTCCGTCTCCAGTCTCTCCTCAAGGCTCTCCCAGCCAGTCTGCACCCGGCCCCCCAGCTCACATGCACAAGCTGTGTGCGGAGTGCACAAAAGGCAAGTTAATTGATTCCCTTATGCCCGAGCGAGATGGTAGCTGCAGAGTGGGAAGTGTGTTATCACCCGGCTCCACCGGCCGCCGTCTCAGTTCTCTTCACAAAGTTTTCCTCACCAGTCTTTTCCCAGGCACCAGCCCACCCTGCTGCCGCCTCTACCCAGAGGTCAAGGAGGGTGGCTGTCACTGCAACTTTTGCGTTGGCCCTTTAAATGTCTCTTTGCATCCCCAGCCACCTGTCTCTGGCAGAGCGCCCCTAAGCTTTTCGGGGTTGCATTTCATCTGTATTTTCCTGGTTTTAGTTCCTGTAGTTTAGAGGTCCCTGCTTATGATTCAGACCCCGTTCTTCTCGGGGGGAGCTAACTGGTCGTTTCAATGTCCCTCTGGTGCTAGTGCCTGTGGGCACCCAGCCCACCCTCTCAAGCTTCCACTGCTCTTCTCACCCGTTGGGATGCATGAGAGTCGAATCCACTGTCTGTCCGGGGCTCCAAGACTCCTCTCCCACTATTGTTCCATTGTTTTTCAGGTGATTACTCCACTATTTAGTTGCAATTCCAGTTTGGTCTTGGGAGGAGGAGGTGATCGTGACTCCCATTCACTCTTCCGCCTTCTTAATCCAGCATGTGGATTTAAATCAGATGTTTCTACCAGTCTCCTGCACTGGCTGAGCATAGAAGACAGTGACCAGTCTGGGAATGACTTCTCATCACAATATTAACAGTTGATAAAGTTGCTTCTTGTTGTGGTAATTATTACAAATTATTCTAATTAAGCCAGTTTCCTGACACTGAATTTCTATTTTTAGCTGAGTGAATAGAGAGGACATCCCAAGCTCCCTTGTCAAACTAGGGAAAAATTGAACTGTTAACTCTCAGTTGATGTGTAGTAAACTTACATTTGGTATCTTCTTAAATGGAAATTAAATGCTTGTTTGAAACACTGTAACATAGAGCATGAGCACAGCATGGATTGTGGAGGAGAAGGCTTCTCCTGACTATGGAACACTTCACATGGCTGAGAACAAAGGAGGCTCTGCAGACCAAGTTGGAACTGCCAGCCACTTGGGACTGTAGAAACACTCCAAAGGCCACTAATAAAGGCTGGAGAGGCCAGGTGGGGCAGGGCTGAGGGCTCCCGTGTGAGTGGTAGGCAGGCCCTGCCACTTTTTTTCTGTCTGCCTCTTTGGACTACTCCAGGAAACATTCTCAGTCTGGGAGGCAGGATCCCAGCAATTTGGCAGCAGTTGTCACTGCCATTTGGCCTAGGCAGCAAAGATAAGCAAGGATTGTCTTGACCATCCCCCTGCAGGCTCTACTGGCCTCCAGGTTGGTGGGTATCTGGTTGGTGTTCATTGTTTGATGAAGGATAACTAAGGGTAAAGACCTAGGGGTTCTGCAGAGGGAAACTGGATCTTGGTACCCAATGGGATTGTTGGTGCAAGTGAAGTAAACACTAGAAAGGAAGATTCATGAGGGTTGTCCCAGGACAAGGCTATGGTAAGGGTGTTCTGAGTATCAGTGTGCTGTCAATAACTATTTGTGTGACTTTGGACAGGTCCCTTTCTGTCTGAGCCTCAGTTGGGACATGGTTGGGCCAGCCCTCGAAGTTCTTCTACCTTGGTCTAGTTCTGGTACTTGTTGTTCAAGCTGCTGGCAGTTCTATTAAGTCCTTTTGTTTTTCTCCCTTCGATGCCAGTGCAAATTTCTATCTGCTTATGCTTCTTCTTATTAAACATCCATCTTGATGTTTAACAGACAGTTTATGGAATAGACAATATCTGGAGACCAAATAATTATATATATATATATATATATATATATATATATATATATATATAATCTGTGCACACACACATGCCCCTCCCCCCATTCAGAGGTTAGTTGCCCTTGTTTAAAAGGAAAAACAAAAAATAATTTTAAAAAATGAGACTAAATAGACATTTCTCTCATGACTCAGAGCACTTCATTTTTTAATGTAATTCAGGAGGGTGAAGGATTTAGGTAAATTAACACATGCATTCCCCAAATAAAAGCTGAAAGGGGAAACTTTGATGTACATAATCAAAGTTGTGTGTGTTTGTGAATGTTTGAAATGATTTTGAGCTGAGATTTTTTATTTGCCATGAAACTATGGGGACTGAGAGGGTGTTGACCTGGCTGGAGTAGCACCACATCCCTAGAAGGGAGTGGTGATGTGATGAGCCCGGCCTATGCAATTAAGCCACCATTGTCTGTTTCTACACGAAATATGTCTTTCCAAACTGTCATCCATTTAGGAATATTCCTTTCCTTTTGGAATACCTGGGAATAGAAAACTCCTACAGCCAAACTCACTCTGCTTTCCTCCATGCAAAGCAAAATGGGTTCCTATCAGCTTCATAGGCCTGTCACAGGATGCCATAAGAATGTTTACTGCACAGTCCCAAGTGCTATGTTTTATTTTTTCCACCAGGAATACTCCATTGATATCACCTTCTGCCAGACTTGGTATGATGAACGCTTCCGTCACAATGGCAGCTTTGACAGCTTTATTCTGAATGGCAACATGGTGAGCCAGTTATGGATCCCAGACACCTTTTTTTAGGTATTCCAAAAGGACTCAAGTGTATGCAGTCACCATGCCCAACCAGATGATCCGCATCCACAAGGATGGCAAGGTGTTGTACACAGTTAGGTATGTCAAACCTCTGGAGTCTTATCTCTTGGGACTTTTCCTCCCCTTCTGAGAATTTTCACCAAAGAAACATGGGCAGATATTTCATCATGGATGATACTTCTAAGGGTCTCTTCAAACTTTATTAGACCATGAACACAACCCCTTTATGTACAGACACAGACACTAAGGTCTCAAAATCAAAAGATATTGCTTAAGGCCACACACCAAGTTTGTGGCAGAGCTGGGACTGGTACCCAGTTACTTGGCTCCAAGTCCAGAGCTACTCCACTAGAATGTATCAGTATAACTGCATTTCCTGGACAGTTCCAGCCCAAGTGGGCACTAGATGTAAAAACACATTCACAGTAGCAGAATTATCTAGTTGGAGCAGTAATACAGCGATTGGGAAGGTAGCAAATACCAGGCTGGATACCCGAATGTATGGCAGAGAAAGGTTGTGAATGAGTGGGGTGAGGCTGGGGAGGTGGTAGAGAGTGGGAGAGTGATGACAGGTCCTGGAAGCTGGGATGGGCAATAAACAAAAGTCTATCTAAGTCAGCCCCTACAGTTCTCTGATAATGGAGACCAGAGCAGCCAGATATTTCCATGCTGTTCTTCGTCTCTTTTTGTCTTTCCTTTGAGCTCTTTGTCACAAATCCCACTGTTACCACTCATTGGTGGTGTCCAGGCACAAGTTAGGCACATACTTAAGTGTTCAAGGTCAGCCTAATAAGGCTTCTTTGTTCCTTCCAGGATGACCATTGATGCTGGATGTTCACTACATATGCTCAAATTTCCAATGGATTCCCACTCTTGCCCTCTGTCTTTTCCTAGCTGTGAGTACCTTCTTAGGTTTCTGGTACCCAAGATTCATTCTGGGCCCCTTCTTTTTCTCATCCTACCCTTTACATTTCTCTTAAATTGGTGCCAAGGTGGGCCATGACCCTCTATTCCATGTTCATCTCCTTTCCTGCTGACAACACTGTATTGCTCAAACTGGGCCTCATGTTGGGTTCCTCCTCACTTTCACTCCACCTCCAGCTTGTCTCCCATCTCTGAAGTACACCTCATATATGTATGTTTCTCTCCATCTTCACTGTTACTACCTTGGTTTATGTCTTTGTCATCTTCCACTTGGACTTTTGCAATATCTTCACTTTGAAACTGAACATGTCCAAAACTAAATACGTTGTCTACTCCTAACCTCTACCCCAAAAACAAATGTTTTGTGTCTGTGTCCCTACCTATATCATTGAAGAAAGGTATCACTACCAACTCAGTTGTTTAAGCCAAGAACTTGGATGCTTCCTTCTCCTTCACCTGCTACATCTAATCAATTACATCATGTTGGTATTCCCTGCCAAATCTCTATTGATCCTGTCTGTTCCTCTGCATTTTCACAGACACAGCTTTGAATCCTGCCTTCATTATTTTTATTATGCATGGATTACTGCACTGGCCTCCCATAACTGGTGTCCCTGTCAATAGGCCATCTTCATATTATGACCAGTGTGACCTAGCTGAAGAACAATTTAGACCAGGTCACTTCTTAGTCTTTCCTTAACTCTCATGTATCAATTCTAAATCATTATAATGTCCCTCAAGGTCCTTCATAAATTGGCCCCTCTACCTACTCTTGCATACGCCATTTAACCTCTGTGAGCCAGCCACCCTGAACTTTTAGCATTTCCACAATACATCAGACATGTTCATCTTTCTGTGCATACAACACCTTCCTCACCCCTTCAGCCTCATCCAGATAGAGAAAACTGCCTCAACTTTAAAATTTACTGGAAATGTCACCATCTTTATGAAGTATTTTCTGGGTATGTCACCAAGTGACCTTTCCTCCCCTGTTTCCCTATTGTTCCAATAGCAGAGGTTTCCCAGAGCAATTGCAAGAATTACAGATGTATACTCATTGTCTTACTCAATAAAATGTGAATACTTGCAGGCAAGGTCCCTGCCTTGTTCATCTCTGAATTTCCAGCACAGGACCTGGTACTGAGGGGATGCTCAATAAATACACTAATTGAATGGATTTCAACAATGAAGTAAGAGAGGCAACATACCACACTGGTGAGGCCAGAGTCATGACTCTAAAGCATTTCTCAGACTCCATGCTAATGAGGACCTCTCCAGGGCTTCCCAGTCTCATATCACCCTCCTTCCCACATTGCTTTACAGTTTCTTATCCTGAGAATGAGATGATATACAAGTGGAAAGATTTCAAGATTGAAATCAGTAAGAGTAATTCCTGGAAGCTCTTCCAGTTTGATTTTACAGGAGTAAGCAATGAGACTGGAACTATCTCTACCATAGCTGGTTAGTGACTCTTTGGAACCAAGTCTAGGCTTTGGAGGGTGGTAGGGATGAGTGGAGCTGGTCATCCATACATACAAATGCTATGTAATCATCCCATGGACATATTGAAGAACATGGTTCCTGTCTTTTTAATGCTAGGCACTTAAAACTGTTTGCAGAGGAAACAGAGACTTTGTAACTAGAGGATAGGTAAGTAGATAAAGTTACAAGGAGGGCACATCTCAAAAAACAGAATTTATTATTAAAAAATTGTGTATTTATTCTTATATGTTTAAATTTCAGCCACCTTCAAAGACCTCTCCATTTGATGCAATACACCTATCAAGATGTTTTTTTTTTTCCACTGCTCAAAACAGTTTTTGAACTCATCAATTTTGATGCCTTTTAGCGCTTCTTAACATTTGTTTCAGCTCTTCCATATCAGCAAAATGTTTCCCTTTGAGAACATTTTTTCATCCAGGGTAACAAAAAAAAAGTCACTCAGGGCAAGATCAGGTGAATAGGGAGGGTGTGGCATGGGGATCATGCTGTTTTTGGTCAAAAACTGCTGAACACTCAGCAAAATGTGGACAGGTGCATTTGTAAATGACCCACTGTGAAATGGGCAAATGTGCTGAAAGAGTCTTCAAAAAATTCACTGAAGCCAAATACATCCTCTCACAACAATGTCATCTGGTACACTGATACAGATGGGTTCCTAGAACACTCATGTAGTGGGAAGCTTGTACTGAAAGGGACCTGCCCTCCAGAAGATAGTTCAAGGTTTTGCGGGGTTCTTTCTAGTATATTGTTGTCAGGATTTGCAACCAGCTTTTTCATGAAGACCCTTCAGTTTCAAGTCTGTTACCACTGACCTCCTACAATGACTTTGGGGAATGAAGCTCATGTTAGTTCTCTATACCCAGAACCAATCCAGGTTGGCTGAGTGGGAAGCAAAGTGTCTCCTAACAGTGGGTGTAGGCTAGAGTTCTAATGTCAGCTAGATAAGGGCTGGGGTAATATGGAAGAGGTTTCAGCAGCTACAATGATTGCTGCATCATTTATTTGAAAGGAGCAGCCTTGACAAGCAGATTACTGTCAAAGACTTCAGGGTAAATTCAATATGCATACATTGTGACCACTGGTTTTCTGATCTAGTGTATAAAAGGGACTAGAGGGAGGGTCCTGGGTCTCTTAAACTTTAGTTCCCAACTAGATGTGAGCATCTTTGCTTGTTGTCCTTGGTGATTTGAATGAGGAGCCGAGGGACCTACTCAAGGTTTTTTCCAAAGCAACCATGGAAAGCCTCTTCGCACATTCTGACCAAGTCAGGGCAGCAGAGGCACTGCCCTCATCATTTGCAGTATGTAGATGGAGCCACTCACCCAACCAGACATGTATGATGAGAGGCATCATGCTTTGTTTCCATGAGGCTAGGCAGATAGCCTGCTTTACTTGCTTAGTTGGTCACTGGGTGAGCGATAGCTCATGTTTATTTGGCTAGAGCTTTTTTTTCTTTTTTTTTTTTAGAGGGTTTTAAGCATTTTATTTTTTTTTATTTTTTTTAATAATTCACATACCCTACAGTTCACTTTATTTTTTTATTTTTTTAATTAATTTATTTACTTTTTAAATACATTTGTCTCTGCCTTCCCCCCACCTCTTTCCCTTGCCCCCTCCCACCTTCCCTCCCTCAGCTCTTCCCCTTTGGTTTTGTCCCTGAGTCCTTGCTATATGTTCCTTGACTTGCCCCTTCCCTTCCTTTTCCCCGCCCCCCACCCTCCTTCCTTCTTGTCTCTGTTGACTTCTTTTCCTTTCAGTGTTGCAGATCTTATTTTCCTTGCATCTTTGTATTGTTCGTTAGTTTCCACTTATAGGTGAGATCATATGGTATCTGTCTTTCTCCCCCTGACTCATTTCGCTTAGCATATGCTCTCCAGTTCCATCCATGCTGTCGCGAAGTTTAGTAGTTCTTTTTTTCTTTTTGCTCCATAGTATTCCATTGTGTATATGTACCATTATTTTTTGATCCAATCATCTACTGATGGGCATTTAGGCTGCTTCCAACACTTGGCTATTGTAAATTGTGCTGCTATGAACATTGGGGTGCATAGGTTCTTTTGTATTGGCGTTGTGGTGTTCTTAGGGTATACTCCCAGAAGGGGAATCACTGCATCAAAAGGCAGTTCCAATTTCAGCTTTTTGAGGAAATTCCACACTGCTTTCCACAGTGGCTGCACCAGTCTGCATTCCCACCAACAGTGCACTGGGTTCCCTTTTTTCCACAGCCTCGCCAGCACCTGTTGTTTGTAGATCTGTTTATGATGGCCATTCTGACCGGCGTGAGGTGGCACCTCATGGTGGTTTTGATCTGCACTTCTCTGATGGCTAGTGATGCTGAGCATCCTTTCAAATATCTCTGGGACCTCTGTATCTACACCTTGGAAAAGCGTCTGCCCAGGTCCTTTACCCATTTTTTGATTGGATTGTTTCTCTACTTGGAGTGGAGGTGAGTGAGTTCTTTATATATCTTGAAGATCAAACTTCTATCTGATGTATCATTAGCGAATATCTTTTCCCATAGGGTTGGATCCCTTTTCATTTTGCTGAAGTTTTCTGTTGCTGTGCAGAAGCTTCTTATTTGGCTGAGGTCCCACTTGTTTATTTCTTCCTTTATGTCCCTTGCTTTAACAGACATATCAGTGAAAAAATTGTTGCGGGGGATATCTGAGAGTTTCTTGCCAATGTTCTCCTCTAGGACTTTTATGGTGTTGCTACTTATATTTAAGTCTTTTATCCATCTTGAGTTTATTTTTATGTATGGTGTCAGCTGATGATCCAATTTCAATTTTTTGCATGTAGCTGTCCACCTCTCCCAACACCATTTGTTGAAGAGGCTATTATGGCTACATTTTATGCTTCTGCCCCCTTGGTCAAATATTAGATGTCCATGAAGACCTGGGCTTATTTCTGGGCTTTCTATTCTTTTCCACTCATCTATGGGTCTGTTCTTGTGCGAGTACCAGATTGTTTTGAGTATAGTGGCTTTGTAGTAGAGTTTGATGTCCGGTATTGTGATCCCTCCTACTTTGTGTTTCTTTCTCAAAATTGCTGCGGCTATTCGGGGTCGTTTATGGTTCCATATAAGTTTTTGAAATGTCTGTTCTATTTCTGTGAAATACGTCATTGGTATTTTAATAGGGATTGCGTTGAATCTATAAATTGCTTTGGGTAGTATGGACATTTTGATGATATTAATTCCTCCAATCCAAGAACACGGTATATGCTTCCATTTACTTGTGTCCTCCTTAATTTCTTTCTTCAATGTTGTGTAGTTTTCTGCATACAGGTCTTTTATGTCTTTGGTTAAATTTATGCTAGGTACTTTATGTTTCTTCTTCCTATATCGAATGGTATTGTTTTTCTGATTTCTTCTTCCTCTATTGCATTGCTGGTGTACAAAAATGCCTTTGATTTCTGAATGTTGACTTTGTATCCTGCTGTTTTGCCAAATTCACTTATTAGGTAGAGGAGTTTTTTTGTAGAGTCTACAGGGTTCTCTATGTACACTATCATGTCATCTGCAAACAATGATAGCTTTACTTCCTCCTTCCCTATTTGGATGCCTTTTATCTCTTTCTCTTATCTGACCGCTGTGGCTAGGACTTCCAATATGATGTTGAAATGAAGCCGTGAGAATGGACATCCTTGTCGTGTTCCCAATCTTAGTGGGAAAGCTTTCAGTTTTTGCCCATTGAGTATGATATTGGCTGTACGTTTTTCATATATGGCCTTTATTACGTTGAGGAATGCCCCATTTATTCCCATTTTGCTGAGTATTTTGATCATAAATGGGTGCTTTACCTTATCGAATGCTTTTTCTGCATCTATCGAGATGATCATGTGGTTTTTGTCTTTTCTTTTATTTACGTGATGTATCACGTTTACTGATTTGCGTTTATTGAACCTTCCCTGCATCCCTGGGATGAATCCCACTTGATCATGGTGGGTAATCTTAATGTATTGCTGGATGCGGTTTGCCAATATTTTGTTGAAGAGTTTAGCATCTATGTTCATCGGCGAAATTGGCCTGTAGTTTTCTTTCTTTGTAGGGTCTTCATCTGGTTTGGGGATCAGGGTAATGCTGGCCTCATAGAAAGAGTCTGGGAGTCTTCCCTCCTCTTGGATATTTTGGAATAGTCTGAGAAGGACAGGGGATAGCTCTTCCTTAAATGTTTTGTAAAATTCTCCTGGGAAACCGTCTGGCCCTAGGCTTTTGTGTGCTGGGAGTTTCTTGAGGACTGCTTCAATTTCCCCAGCTGTTATCGGTCTGTTCATGCTTTCTTTTCTTCCTCCTTCAGTGTTGAAAGATTATACTTTTCTAAAAATTTGTCCATTTCATGAGATTTTCAAATTTTTTGGCATATAATTGTTCATAATAGTTTCTGATGATATTTTGTATTTCTGTGGTATCCGTTGTTATTTCTCCTCTTTCATTTCTGATATTATTAATTTGGGTCCTCTCCCTTTCTTTCTTGATGAGTCTGCTTAAAGGCTTGTCAATTTTATTTATCTTTTCAAAGAACCAGCTTCTGGATTTGTTGATCCTCTGAATTGTTCTTTTTGTCTCTATGTCATTCAGTTCTGCTCTGATCTTGACTATTTCCTTCCTTCTACTTGCTCTGGGATTTATTTGTTGTTGTTTCTCCAGTTCTTGAAGTTGTAGTGTTAGGTCTTTTAATTGAAATGTTTCTACCTTTTTTAGGTAAGCCTGTATTGCTATGAACTTCCCTCTCAGGACCGCCTTTGCTGTGTCCCATAGGTTTTGCACTGTTGTCTGTTCATTTTCATTTGTTTCCAGAAATTTTTTGATTTCTTCTCTTATCTCATTATTGACCCATTCATTGTTTAATAGTCTACTGTTCAGTCTCCATGAGTTTATAAGTTTTTGAAGTTTCTCTTTGAGGTTGATTTCCAGTTTCAATCCCTTGTGGTCCGAGAAAAAGTATGGTATTATTTCA